CCCCCAGCCCCGTCCCCTACCCCACTCAGCCCTGAGAGATCCTGATCATCCCTACAGTGGTCCAGACACTCGGAGATGGGGGGCAGGCCCTGCTGCCATACACGACAGACCAGTGAAGGGGTTTGCAACCCCAGGCCCCGGGACCCACAGGTTCTTAGTAAGGAGTCCCGTTTGAGAAATGGGGGGCTGCTCCAGGTGTCCTGGACCCGCACCCCTGCCCACCACCCCGACTCCACCACAGAGTCCTGGGGTTCCCCGGACCACGCATCCGAAACCACAGTTCTGGCCCCACAGTTCGTTGTGCAGCTGAGGAACCCGAGGCGCAGGGAGGGAGAGGGACAGCTCCGGAGTCGCAGAGCAGGCTGGGCGTGGAACCAGGTCCCCCAGCTCTGCCTGGGGGCTCTGCAGAGGTGGACCCCTCGGCTCCCCCCAGGGCCCGGGGTGCACACACATGGCACTGCTCTGGCAGCCGGGGCACTCCTGGGGGACTCCTCAGAAGAGGAGGCTCCATCCACAAGGCCGGCGAGGACAGGACAGGGCATGGCAGGGTGGCTGGGATGCGGATCCGGGAGGCTGTGGACAAGGCTCAGAAAGCTGGTGGCAGGGGTCCCGCCAGGACGCTCTGCCGGTGGCACTCAGTCTCCAGGGTGAGGGGGACACACACACAGTGAGGCGGGAAGGTGTGCAGGGGGGTGGCCCAACTACTCCACATTAGGAGCCTGAGCTGGACCACATGGCGGCCAGAAGGAGGGCTCTCCAGCCGGGCCAAGGCTCCCCCTGCGGTGGGGACGAACTTGGGCTGTTTGGGGAGCAGAAAGGAGGCCCAAGGCTGAAGCAGGGCGGGGGGCAGAGCCAGAGGATCAGAAGCCCATGGGGACTTGGAGCCAGCTGTGCACTGACTCCACCCAAAGCCCTGGGAGAGGGAGCTGGCTGGGGTCTCATGTCCCACTCAGCCAAGAAGCAGACAGAACACTTCATAGGCTGCCCCCCCATAGGCAAAGCGTCATCTCCCCAAAGCAGAAAGGGTGTTGTTCTCAGGTGCTGGCTGTGACCAGGGTGTCCCTTCTAGAGGCCTCTGCTGTGCACGGCCTCGGCTGTGGGCAGCGGGCAGTGCGTTGTCCTCGGTCCACTCGCCCCACGTGGCCTGGCCCACCGTCCCCCTCACGTGAGGCTCTTCCTTCATTGCTGGCAGGGGATCAAGAAGCCCTACAACCCCATCTTGGGGGAGACCTTCCGCTGCCGCTGGTACCACCCCCAGACTGACAGCCACACTTTCTACATAGCGGAGCAGGCAAGGGCCCCGCCGGGCCGCACGGGGGTCCCTGGGGTGGGGGCTGGCAGTGGGCAGGGGCACTGACCCCCATGGGCGCTTCCTCACGGCCCCACCTCTGCTGGTCAGAAGCGCTTTCCTGCCAGGATTCTCCCAGGAGGTGCACTGACTCCACCCAAAGCCCTGGGAGCCCTGGGACTCAGCACCATGGCTGGGAACAGTGCGTCCCATTTCCCTAGGGCATCCAGAGGCCATCAGGGGAGGGCTGTGGGGGTGTGGGGGTGCCGAGAGGCTGGGGCTTCCCACTGGGAAGCTGGACCCTCACTTTGCTGAGGCCGCCCACTGCTAGGGCCATTCCAGGAGCCACCTCTCTGCCCACAGGTGTCTCACCACCCACCCGTGTCTGCCTTCCACGTCAGCAACCGGAAAGACGGCTTCTGCATTAGCGGCAGCATCACAGCCAAGTCCCGGTTCTATGGTGAGGGGCTCCCTCGGGTCACCCCGGGGCCTCGGGAAATGGGAGGCCTGGGCTCCTGGAGGATCGTGGTCACTAGGACCTCAGGTCGCGGCAGTGTGCGTGTCCCTCCAGCCGCTCCTGCTCGGGGACCACGCGGGTGGGACAGTGCTCAGCCCCGAAGCAGGCACAGCCCGGCCTCCACGCCCCATCGCTCCGCCGTAGTCGGCACCGTTTGCAGGGGTGCCATGAGGTTCATCGGAAAGAACCGGCATGCAACGTGCCTTCCGGAGCTGAGCTAGCCGCCCAGTCCGGCACCACTAGCCTCATGTACTTTGTAAGTTGATTAAAATGAAACAAAACTTACAAGGTGGCTGGTTGGTCGCACCAGCCATATCCCAAGGGCCCAGTAGCCACACATGCGGGTGGCTCAGGGAAGTTATGTGACTCGCCCATAGTCACACAGCTGGAGGTGCCAGGGACTCCTCCCCCCTGTTGGAAGGGAGCTCAGATCTGTGATTTAGGGGGTGGGCCCCCGGATCCAGAGGGTCCATCTCCACTCACTGGTCCCCCTGTCCCATCCCTGCAGGGAACTCGCTGTCAGCTCTGCTAGATGGCAAGGCCACGCTCACCTTCCTGAGCCGGGGAGAGGAGTACACCCTCACCATGCCCTACGCCCACTGCAGAGGTGAGGCCCGCCAACCGTCCCCATTGGGCAGAGCCCAGGCTGGCTCCGCAGGCAGGGCATCTGGGCCCTGAGCAGAACTCTGGCCCTTGTTCCTTTGAAGGTATCTTATCTTCACCCTTACTCTTCCATGGCTTTGTGGCTGGGCACAGAACTCCAGGCAGATTGTTATTCTTCTCTCACATTTGAAACATTGTATCACATTTAAAACATTGTATCACATTTGAAACATTGTATCGCATTTGAAACATTGTATCACATTTGAAACATTGTATCGCCTTCTGGCTTCCGCTGTGGGTGGTATGCATCACCCGTCAGCCCATTTGTTACATAGCTGTCTTTCTTCCCGGCTTCTTATAAGATCTCTTGTCTGTGGTGGTCTGCAATGCAGTATGTCAGGGTTTGGATTTATCTTTTATTTTCTATTTAATGAACTTTACTTTCTATAGCGATTTTAGGTTTACAAAAAAAACTGAGCAGAAAGTACAGAGTTCCCACATCCCCCCTCCCCCGCATCTCACACGCAGATCCTGTTATAAACACCTTGCATGGGTGCGCTGCATTTGTCACAATTAATAAACCAGTATTGATACATGATGAGTCACTAAAGTCCGTAGTTTTCATCAGGAGTCACTCTTCGTGCGGACGGCTGTAGGGTGTTGCGTTCCCAGCTGTACCGTGTCACAGAATAGCTTCGCTGCCCTAAAACTCTCCCGCGCTTAGAGGTGAATAGATGAAGTCACTTATTCATCATCCCTCCCCTCCTCCAACCCCTGGCAACACTCATCTGTTTCCTGTCTCAACGTCTTGCATTTGAGACTCACTTCTTTCTCTAAGCAGTGTGCACTTAAGGTACCTCCAAGCCTTTTTGTGGCTTGATAGCCCTAGATTTCTTTTTCCTTTTTGCTGCTTGAGGGTTTTTGTTTGTTCGAACTTTTTCATGGCTTTGATCAAGTCTGGAAATCTTTCAGCTATGTCTTCAATCTTGCCTCACCCAAATTTCTCCATTTTTTATTTTTCCTAGAGCTCCGATTAGGCATAAGTTAAACCATCATGTTCTATATTCTACATCTCGTAGCTTTTTGCATTCCGGGCAATTTCTGTAGATCTACCTTCAATTCCCGTTAACCTGATGTTTAACTCATCCATTGACTTCCATGTTTATGTTTTTGGCTTTTTCCCCTAAAACTCTTATTTGGTTTCCTTTCAGACTTGCCTGTTCGTTTATGCTTATATCTTGTTCCTGTGTGCAGTATTTCTTATAAACCTGTAAACATTGTACATGGGGTTGTTTTACATTTTCTCTCAAGCAATTCTAATATTTGAACTGGTTCGCCCCTGTGTCCCCACTCCCCATACTAGATGCCCAATAAATATCTGGATGACCGTATGTCTTAAGACCTGGAGTTTCTAATTCTGCTGGGGGTTTTCTCGGCTCTCACACACAGAAGGCTGTTTCTGGGCCACACAGGAAATGTCCATTTGAATCCCGAACTCACTTTACACATTCATGGACGAGTTTTGTTTTTATTTGCAACCCCTGGAGCCCAGGCCAGTCCGGAGGGTTCCCTTGGCTGTCCCCCGTGATGGCTGGGTGCATGGGCTTTCTGCATGCAGGCGTATCTGTGTGAGTCACAGCCGAATTGGGATTTCTCAGATGCATGTCCTTGTCCTTCTGGCTCCAGCCCCTCTCCTGCTCCCTACAGGGACCTGGGACACCTGCTCAGCCAGGCAGAAACTGCTCCTTCCTGTTCCCCTCCCCCTCCTTCTCCTCTCCCTCCTCTTTCTCC